ATTATTGAGATTATAAACACATACATACAGATTACTGACCTACTTTCCTATATACATAGTGCAGATCAGTAAGCTTAAGAGAACTAACACTGCATCAAGGGATTGAAAAGTGAAACAAGTCAGTATGGAGAACTATTCAGTGGTAGGGATAACAAGATTTTCTGTCTGATAAATGGTCAGATTTGGCTAATGATGAAGAAAGTGACAAGATGATTATTGATAGATTTTGCCTTCTTTTAGAATGTAGGTCTCCATGTTAGAAGTAGTAGAAGGTTCATACTACCCCAAGTGTATGTTGCACAGTGATATAAATGCCAGGTAATACTATGTCAAAGAAGTATTAAAATATCAATTGAAACAATAAGAAAAGTCTATGATACAGAGAGAAATTTTTGAAATTGATAGTAACAGATCTAAAACCCTCTGTCTCATTTTTTTCTTTACTTAGCTTTGTTTCTTTTCTCTCTCTCTCTTGCTCTCTCTCTCTCTCTCTCTCTCTCTCTCTCTCTCTTTCTTTTTTTGAGACATTGTCTCCCTAAGCAGTTTGGGCTGGTCTTGTGCTCACTTTGTAGCCCCCAGGCTGATCTTGAATTCATAGCAATCCTCCTGTCTCAATTTCTCAACTGCTGGGATTACTGGCATGTGATTACATGTCTGGGGTTCCAGGGCTGCACATGTCATGTAGGTCCAGGAATCAAACTCAGGATCTTGTGCTTGCTAGGTAGGTGCTCTACTTTACTTAGCTTTCTAAAAGCCTACTTAGCTTTCTAAAAGCTTTCCCTAGCCCTACTTTACTTAGCTTTCTAAAAGCCATTTCAACTACTGAGTTCCACCCAATAGAGCAATCTCAAATATAAGACTGATGGCTTTTCATCATAACTTCAGGTATTTTCTTTTTTTATTACTTTTGAGACAGGGTTTCTCACTATGCAGTTTGAGCTGGCCTTGTGCTCAGTTTTGTGGGCCCCAGGCTGGTCTTGAACTCGCAAAGATCCTGTATCAACCTCCTGAGTGCTGGGATTATAGGCATGTGCCACCATGCCCAGTTCTGGGGCTCCACGGTGGGCACTGGCCTCCAGGGCCCCCGGACATATGGGGCCAAGGATTGAACTCGGTCCTTGTGCTTGCTGGGTAGGTGCTTATGCCTCTGAGCTATCTCTCCAACTCCAGGTATATTTCTTCTTCTTCTTCTTCTTTTTTTTTTTTTGTGGACGGCTCAGCCCACCCTGGGGGTGGGGACTGGCACGCAAGTGGTGCTGGGGATTGAACTGCGTCCCTGTGCTTTTGCCTAAGCTTGCCTACACAGGTGCTTTAAACTGCTGAGCTATCTCGCCAGCCCTAGGTATACGTCTTAATGTCTATAGGATATGGATTCTAAGGGCAAGGACCTTGTGGAAGGTCCGGCTGAGGGCATTCTTCACCTCATTATTCCTCAGGCTGTAGATGATGGGGTTCAACATGGGAGTCACAACAGTGTAGGACAATGATAATAATTTCTTGCTCTCAGGAGAATTATTTGATTTGGGCCGGAAATATGTAAGGCTTAAAGATACATAGAAAAGGGAGACCACAAGGAGATGGGAAGAGCAGGTGGAGAAAGCCTTACGCTTCCCTCTAGCTGATGGAATCTTGAGGATGGCAGCAGCGATGCGTGAGTAGGAGCATAGGATCAGCAAGCAGGGTATCATGACCACCAGAATGGTTCCAACAATGGCATAGATCTCAAAGAGCGCCGTGTCTGCACAGACCAGCTTCAGAACAGGTGGGCTGTCACAGAAGAAGTGGTTCACTTTGTTGGTGGCACAGAATGGGAAACTGAAGAGCCACGTGGTCTGCACAGTGGCTACAGGAAATCCTGGAAACCAGGAGGCTACAGCCAGTTTGGTGCATGTCCTCTGGTTCATGAGGACTGGGTAATGCAAGGGACTGCAGATGGCTACATAGCGGTCGTATGCCATGGTGGCCAAGAGGAAGCATTCATCCACTCCAAAGAAGAAGGAGAAATACATCTGAGTGGCGCAGCCCAGGAAGGAGATGGTTGTGTCCTGGGAAAGCAGGGTTCTTAACATTTTAGGTACAATGACTAGGTTGAGGCCAACCTCCAAGAAGGACAAGTTCCTGAGAAAGAAGTACATGGGGCTGTGCAGCATGGGGTCAGCCAAGGTAACCAGAATGATGAGGTTGTTTCCCATCAGGGTGACCAGGTAGATGATGAGAAATACCAGGAAGAGCAAGGACTGTATTTCAGTAGGTAGGGAGGAAAAGCTCATGAGGATAAAGTCACTTATTCTTGTCCAGTTTCCTCCAGCCATAGGAATAATTTTAAATCTCCAGAGTGATCATGGAGAGGGATTGTTCATTGCAGTAATCACATTTTGCATATGGCATACTTCTTCTTACTGTTAGAGAATTAGACAAGGTTAGGATCTTGAGTTTCATATTAACCTAAACAGAGTTGTTGCCAAGTCAGAATCACGAGTCAGAATCAAGTAGATAAGGAAGGACACATGTTGAAACACAATGACTTTCCTGAGAATATCTAAACTTTTGAGAAGCATGACCAATGTTAATGATCTGATTAAAAAATACAAAAGTGCCTTTTCCAAAAACTCTAGAAAAAATATGCAAAATATATAATTATTTTTACTGTCGTCACGAATCTCCCTTGCTTGTATAGAATTTGAGAGTTTAGTAGCTAACATATATTGAAAACAGCTTGTTTGTATATCTTTGTTCTTTCTCTCTGCTTTTCATCTGCAACTTTATTCAGTTTGTTTAAATATTTAACAACTCTAAAGTATTTATTTCTTGGTTTGACAAAAAATTTCTCTTTTCAGGAGAAAATAGTTATATGCACTACTATGTGGGTAGTTCGGTTTCTTCCTTTAGTCCTTTTCTGATCAGTGAATCATGTTTTTCAATATTTTCCTGTGTATCTTTATTCTCTTACATTTCTAGTCTTTCCATGAAGACTCTGATCTCAGAGAAATTAGAGAATAGTAGTTAAGTGGTTTTCTACATTCAGTTGAATCACGATGTTGTATTATGTCTTTTAATTCTTAGTTAAGCTTCAAAAGGCTTTCTTCTCTTATTTTGGAGTCTAGAATGTTGAATTCCATTGGAGATAAAAAGACACACCATAGTAGATAATATACAGGCTAAGAGAATGGGATAAATGAAAAATTCACATAGCTAAGGAGCTATCATAAGAAAATAATATATTAGGAGATGTGAAGACCAGCATTAGTACAAAGTATAAAACATTCAAACATGTGGTCAGTGTTCTGAAGATTTTGTGTTGGTATTCTCATAAGAAAATAATATATTAGGAGAAGTGAAGACCAGCATTAGTACAAGGTATAAAACATACAAACACGTGGTCAGAGTTCTGAAGATTTTGTGTTAGTATTCCTTTTTATCTTTTTTTTTTTTTTTCAGAACCCGGGATTGAACTCAGGCCCTGGCACTTGCCAGGGAAGTGCTTATTACACTGAGCCATCTCTCCAGCCCCTCCTTTCTTTCTATGCTAAGGAATTTGGTCTACATTCTATCTGTCAAGAAATTCACTTAAATCTTCAAATTGCAGAATGATGCTTTCATATATAAGTCATGGAGAAAGATCACTCTGATGTTCTGAGATTAATTCATATGATGTGGCACTAGGGAGGGATCAAAAGCTCCATGCCTGGTATCAAGACCATGGGTTATCTCCTCACTACTATCAGTGTTCAGTAACAAGTTCTTTACAAGCAACATGGGAAATACAAAGTTACCAGAGGGGGCAAAATACTAGTCAGATCCTGGTCAATAATTTTTTATGTCTTTGTTGTATTTAGCACTCCAAGCATCTGGAAGGGAAAAGACCATCAGTTTTAGAAAATAATTATGGTCAAACTGATCTAATAGTTCTTCAAACTATACCATGTCTGTAGTTTCAAGCTCAACTTATAAGAAAATACAATTAAAAAAACAATAATTGGGCCAAAGATGCAGCAAAAAGATACATGCAGTGAACAATTTTCCTGTTATTGGAAGGCAGGGCAGCCCACGGCCTTTCAGAGTAAGGAGAGAGGAAGACATGGCAGATGTGCAGACACAAGAGCTGGGATTAAGGCAATGAACTCAAGACATCAGAGTACTTGTTTCCTCTTTGAAAAAGAGTTCAGAAGAAACAGGTGAGGAATACAATTGTTTTTACTGTTTACTGTCAATAAGCTTCATAAAATATCGAATATCAAATAAAAACTCATGAAAATGAGTTGTAAGCCAGAAATAAGCATGATGGGAGAACCAGCCATGAATTCTGAATTCAATGGCTGTGGATCACAGTGCTTGAAATGTATGAAATATGAATTAATAAATTAAAGTGAAAGTTTGTGAAGTTATACCCATATTATTGGGGAAAATTACAAAACATAAAATCGTGATGAAATAAAATACAGAAAGAATCCACTTATTAGATATTCCAGAAAGGTAAGACAAAGAAAAGAGAAAGAAAATAATATTCAAGTAAGTGTCAGGGTAGTAATACACATCCCTGATCCAAAGGAAATATGACATTTTAAATTGAAAGAATTCCTAGGTACAAAAGAAAATAAATTTTAAGACATTTATACAAACATGTCTTAAATGACAGTTCAAAATATTTTTGGAAATAGAAACAAATTCTGTTATGTAGCCAGATTAGAAAAATGATTAAAATAGCACAAAACAAAAAGTACTCTTTTAAACCACAACCATGGAAAAAGTAAAAAAATTTCATTACTATTAATGCATCTATATTTATTTCTTTATTATTATTTATGTTATTATTATTAGTAGTAGTAGTAGTAGTACTAGTAGTTACTACTAGTTCCAGGGCTGTTGTCCTGAGATACATCCCAGACTTTTAATTATTTAAGATTTTGGTACAGGGTCTTGATAAATTTCCCAGTAACTCATGGTAGGCTCTAATTTGATGTCTTCACTCCTCAGCTTCCTAGAGTGATGGCATTACAAGCATGTAACACCACACTGGGATCATATATAAATATTAGTTAAGATTTCAAGGATTTATCAATGTGCACATTAGAACAGGTAACAGAAATTAGCGACAGCACCAAGCACTGCTGCTGATTGGATTAAATGCATTGTTCAGACATTGCAGATGTAAATGTAAGTCGTCCAGCCACTCTGGCACATAGTTTAGCAATTCTTTGAAACAGCAAAGTAGGAGAATGCCATACCACACAGTAAGAGTACTTCAGGCTATTTATCTAAGAGAAAGGCTTATAATGAGACAGAAACATGTGTGCTAGACTGGGAATATAGCTTAGTGGCACAGTGCCTGCCTTAGATGTGCAAGGTCCTGAGTTGAGTTCTTGATTCCAAGAAAAAGAGTTTACGGGTGCTGCAGTCATAAAAAATCCAAACTGATAATAATCCAGATATCTGTCAATGGGTAAATGATCAATTACATTTACAGTAATATTCCTATACCTTGGTATACTTTTTCAGCAACAAAAAATGACAAACTATTAATATTAATGAACAACATAAGTACATTTTCAGAAAATTATGCTGAATAAAAAGAGACATATTGTTCTACTTATATAACTTTTTAAATGTATTTAGTACAGGGTCTACAGGGTCTCACTACACAGATCAGACTCGAAGTGATCCTTCTGTTTTTCAGCCTCCCAAGCTCTGGCGTTACAGGCACGTGCCACCACGCCCAGTCTCAACCGCCATCTCAGCGTGCCCTGAGGGTGGGTCAGGCACAGCATGCTGGGAATCGAACCGTGGTCCCTGTGTCTGCATAAGCTAGCACTTTAATCTGCTGAGCTATTATATAACATTTTTTAAATAACAAAATTTTAGAAATGGAAAACGAAGAGTGATTGCCAGTGGTTACACAGGAATGTGGGCATGGAAGGGAAGTGCGGCCACCTATGGAAATCTATCAGGAGGGATTTTCAGAGTAATAGCACAGTGCACATTTTGATTGCAGTACTGTCAGTATTTGGACTGTGATATTGTCCTACAGGTTTTATTTCCTATGTCTGCATGCAAAGCTACAGTTGTTTTAGGCAAAGTTTAAAATACAGAAAAACTCAGCTGTAAACATTTGTATAATATGTGTTGATATTTTCCTTTATGTTAAGGTATGTTAGAGCTCAATCACTGTTACTCTAATAACAAAATAAATATAATTCAAATGCTATAATATGTTTATTTCTTACAATATCTTCTAGTGGTGTATATTTTATAATAAATGTATTTACAATTTTATTTACATTTAAAATAAATGACAACAGAAAAGAGAGTAAGAGAGTTGTCTTATGCCACAATAACGAGAGGACACAGTAGATTTATGTCTATGGAACACAAGTCAGGCTCATTTAGATTTTTATTATGATAACATGATAAATAGGGATAATAGATTAATATTATTTCCAAATTAAGCTTGAAATAAGCTAGACACAGAAGTACAAAACCCATGAAATTAAGAATATTAAATAATTCTAAAGTAATTTCAATATTTTGCTCTTTAAAAATAAGTAATGCAAACAAGTTCAATAAAAATGAAGAAAAAACATAAAAATATTAACACTACAAATGGAAAATAAAAATAGACCAACACTTTGATAAGTAGAAAGGAGTGCTACAAATATTTCTACCATCTTCAGTCTAATATATAAACATTTTTATTCTAAAAATTATGAATCAGAATTACAATTAAAGATTAATTTGATTAGAAAAATCAAGAAATCCTAAGCATAAAAACCCTAAAATAGAAATAAAAATATAAATTACAAATGGAGATAATACCTTTATTGATAAGAGATTCTTACAAGTTATCCAAGAGAAAATTAGGTAAATTTGTAATGATTCAATTCATAGGTGTAAAAAACAAGTGACTAAAAAACATGAAAAAAATTTAAAGCCTCAGAAAGCAAATGCAAACTTTTAATAAAAAATTGCATTTATTCTAAGTTTTAAAGTGTGACAATGCTTATTTTGAGTAACATCTAAATACCGTTAATATTAAACAAATGTGGGCCCATATAAAAGGATTTCATAGCATCTATCAAAAACTGAATGAGCAATTCAACCTGCCAGTTTTAGTTTTATTCTTTTTACATTTTTAAAATGTATTTGCTGCAGGTTCTCACTACGCAGCTCAAACTCATCGTGATCCTCCTGTTTTCAGCCTTCCCAGTGCTGGGATTACAGGCACGCACCGCCATGCCTAGACTCGGTCACCAGCCCAGCGCACCCAGGAGCGGGCCCGCATGGCATGGGGCACCGGGGGCTGAATCCCGGTTCTTGCGCTTGCCTACCCACCT